ACATATACATATACATATACATATACATATACATATACATATACATATATATATAACAACTTTTCTAAAAATATGAGTTCCAGGTATACTTGTAAAAGAAGAAACAGACATCCTGAGATCTCCAGAACTAAAAATTCTATTTATTGTACTTACTAAGCTTTTGTCAGCCTCTGCTGACATGTCAGCGTATTAAGCTACCATTACAGAGATCTTGCCTTTGTATATCATTAATCAATTTAGCCCTTGCACATGTAATAGCCCTTCCAATCATCTCCCATCTGTAATTAACTTTTTTGCTTCAGTCATGTTAGTCAAAGGAGGCTTATCTCTTGTTGTTGGTTCCTCCCTTGGAATGCTTATCTCTATGAGGTGATGTTAACCTGCCAGCTATTGCAATTTGTTGCTTTGCTCAGAATTTAGTCAGAATTGCTAAAAAGAAAAGATAATGAATGCATTGCAACTGGTTAGGTTTGCATACTTGTTGAGCTTGTTATAGTCAAACAAGCCCATTGTTGGCTAACATAGTTTATGCTAAACAATAGTTATGAAACAAACCAGAGGGGCATAGATGACATAGTGCTAAGCCAGTGATTGGCAAGACATGTTTGATGAGTTCCTACATTGCTCTAACCTAAAAGTTAAAGTGATAAGCAGGTGATATGTGATTTCCCCCAAATATATATATATATATATGCTTTGTCTATGGAGATCCAGGTCATGGTTGTCTCAAAGATGCTCAATAGGTAATGGGAGATTAATGTACCCACCAGAACATGATAAAACAAAAGCAAAATTGTAGTTGAGGTTGATTTCAACGCAAACCAAAAATCAAACAAAATAAGTAAGATGATGGCACATTCAAAGTATTCAAGAAAGGGATCCAGCCATGTGTATGTATATGTACACACACACACACACACACACACACACACATCTGAAAATGAAGTCTCTATTAATGTTGATACAATACAACTCAACAGAAGAACACTTTTTTAATGAAAAACGGTATTGGATTCCATCCTTAATCATTTTAGCTAAGAGGTCCAACAACAAATCAATGGTCCTACTTTGAAGATGCTCCCATTAACTGGTCTATAATTTAGTCTTTGGATACTTTTCATTTGATTAATTGCTGTTTTCAAAGCTCCTTCAAAGGCAGACAGGTGTACAGGACATGCTATTGGTGGATCACAAGTGATATCAGAACATGGACATCACCAAAAAGAGAAAAGATCCCCAGCCTATTACCTCTTTCTCAATACATGCTTCTCAATATAGACATACTCTTACATGTCTATAGAGGTTCTCAGTCACCTAGTCATCAGTTGTCCTAAAGGTGCTTTTTCTAGACACAACTGAACTTTCTGGTTTTTCTTTGAAAGCATTTCACTTTTCATCCAGGAAGCTTCTTCAGCTCTGACTGGATGGTGGGGAATGGTCTGCTTCTACAAATAGTTGCAGCCCCAGAGATAATTGCACTCACCTTTCAGGGCAGAAGAGAAGCAAAAGACATCAAAACGATGGAGGTTCTTGTGACGTTCTCCATAGCTTCTGATACCAGGTTGCAGGTGATGCCCACCACAAGGTTCCCGGGGTACTGTGATAGGATACTGGGCTGTGCCATCAATCAGCCAACCAGCATTGCACCAGTCTAAGCCATCTAACCAGGCCTGGAAGAGCTGGTCAAAGGAGGCTATTACTGCATCCTGATCTTCACAGATCTTCTTGGCTTCGTGGAAGTTAAGCTTATAGCGTCCATGGGGAGATTGGTATGGAAAGACCACTCCTGAATTGGGAAAAGCGAGCGAATATAAATGGAAAGATTACTGAAGGTGTGCATTTCGTAACTGGATAATCCAACATTCAAAACAAAGTACAGAGTTACATTGATGCCTGGAATTGGGGAGTGAATCAAACCCAACTTAAATTATCTTAATTTGGGAAAATGTTGTGTAAAACCGAGTTGGGCAACTTGTGGCCACTTAGACAGTGTTCGACTGGAACACATAGCATCCCTCACTGCTAGCCATACTGATAATAACAGCTGGAATTTTTAGTCAGCAACAAATGTTTTTAAAATATATCTCCAGATTACAGGCCGCATATTTTTGCTTTGGATCTGGATAATGTCAAAGCAATTGCACAATAGGCTGCTTACATCAAAAGGATACCAATAAAAATGACAGACTGATGGTGACATCTGGTGGCCAGAAAAAGGAAGAAACTCTATGTTATCTGGTCACCAAAATAAATATAATTGATTGATTCACATCCCTCCATCCATCTTTGCTGATCTACTCTTTCTAAATAAAACAGGAAAATACTTTCTTGCTATAGTCAGAAGTTAATCCATCAGATTAAATGTCTCGTTTCTACATTCATATCTTCACACCATACACATGCTTTTAAAAGCCTCATACACATTTTTGTAACTCTTTCTCCAATACACATTTCTTCTTACAGTTTTGTCTAGTGTACATAGCTGTCTCATAAGGTATGCCCTTAATTTGTTTTTTTAAGAATATATTCATCTTTATGCAATATTATCTTAATATAAATACGATTTGCGAGCATCTCGTTCTGTGGCTTTATTGTACATTTTTACTATATTTTTGCATCTGCATTTCAACTTTTACCTGAAAGCTCAAGAGAGTATATATGGAAATTGCTCTCTATTTTATTACTACAATAACCTAGTGCAGGAAATGTATCTTTAGAAGAGCAGGCAGAACCTGGGGGTGGGGTCAAGTGAGTAATCAGCCTAGAGTCATTACATTGCCACAAGCAATCCAAGTCCAGCCACCCTTTAATTCTGTTGATCTAGTGCCAATTTAATGGCCATTAGTTGCCTTGATTCTTGTGAAAAAGCATGATCAATAAATCATCTTAACTGGAACTTAATGTGTAGTTCTGATTCTTCCTGCCTGACAGCATCTGTCTCTTAACATCATCCAGAAGCTCTGAGGCCAAATGGGTCTTCCCAGTTCAAGGCCAACTTCTTAATCATGTCATTATATCTCAGAATAAGTGGTGCAGTGACCTAGAGGTGGATATTGCCTCACAATCAGGAAGCTGTGGGTTCAATCCTAGGTAGAGGCTGATATTTCTCTCCCTAGGCACAATGAGAATATATCTGCTGAACACAACTCCTCATTGGCAACAGGAAGGGAATCCGGCCAGTAAACATTCTGCTAGTTCCATTCAGTTGCCCCGACTCCACCCTGCAAGGGATTACAGGGTCATTAAAAGACAAAAACAAAAATTATATGTCAGAATATTGGCCACATCAGTTCAATCCTACTCACCTTGCAATTCTAGATCCACAGTCCCACTTTCATCTTCCAAACCATCAATGACTTCACAGCGGTACTTCCCAGCATCATCCAAGCGCAGGTCATTGATCACCAAGGAGGCTTCATCAGAAGACTCTTGCTGCAGATGAGTCCGTCCACGGAACTCGCCAAAGCTGCGGTGATTTCTCCCAGATGCCACCAACACATCTCGATCTTTAGAGTTGTCCTCCCGCAGCTTGGACCATTTGATGCGGATCCTACGAGGGGCATCCAGTTTAGGGGCATAGTGATAATGGCAGGGCAGTGTAACATTGGCACCACGCTGGGTAGAGATGGCATCATCGGAGGTCTCAACCGTCAGTCGGACACCATTGAACGGACCTGAAAAAGGAAGAAACCAAGGTCAGATGTCAGGCAACAAGACTCAAAATACCAGATCAGGTGAACTACACTGGGAGAAGGTGCTTCTCAGATAAACTACAGTGGGAGGAGGTGTATCTCAGGTGAACCACAGTGGGAGAAGGTGCTTCTCAAGTGAACCACAGTGGGAGAAGGTGCTTCTCGGGTGAACCACAGTGGGAGAAGCTGTATCTCAGATGAACCACACTGGGAGAAATTGCTTCTCAAGTGAACCACACTGAGAGAAGATGTATCTCAAGTGAACCACAGTGGGAGAAGGTGTATCTCAGGTGAACCACAGTGGGATAAGGTGCTTCTCAAGTGAACCACTCTGGGAGAAGGTGCATCTGAGATAAACTACAGTGGGAGAAGGTGTATCTCAAGTGAACCACTCTGGGAGAAGGTGCATCTGAGATAAACTACAGTGGGAGAAGGTGTATCTCAGGTGTACCACAGTGGGAGAAGGTGCTGCTCAAGTGAACCACACTGGGAGAAAGTGCTTCTTGGGTGAACCACACTGGGAGAAGGTGTATCTAAGGTGAACCACAGTGGGAGAAGGTGCTTCTCAAGTGAACCACACTGGGAGAAAGTGCTTCTTGGGTGAACCACACTGGGAGAAGGTGTATCTCAGGTGAATCACAGTGGGAGAAGGTGCTTCTCGGGTGAACCACAGTGGGAGAAAGTGCTTCTTGGGTGAACCACAGTGGGAGAAGGTGCTTCTCAAGTGAACCACAGTGGGAGAAGGTGCTTCTCAAGTGAACCACTCTGGGAGAAGGTGCATCTGAGATAAACTACAGTGGGAGAAGGTGTATCTCAGGTGAACCACAGTGGGAGAAGGTGCTTCTCAAGTGAACCACAGTGGGAGAAGGTGTATCTCAAGGGAACCACAGTGGGAGAAGGTGCTTCTCAAGTGAACCACAGTGGGAGAAGGTGCTTCTCAAGTGAACCACAGTGGGAGAAGGTGTATCTCAGGTGAATGACAATGGGAGAAGGTGTATCTCAGGTGAACCACACTGGGAAAAGATGCTTCTCAGGTGAACCACACTGGGAGAAGGTGTTCTCCAGCTCTGGTTTGCAGACGCCCTAAAGGAGGGCCTGGCAATTAATTTTCCGAAGGAGCCACATAAGAAACTAGAGTGTTGTGGAGGGTTGAACTAATAGGGAAGTGAAGGTACATAGCATGCACACACTCCCATAGGTATATTGAGAAATAATAGCAGTTGCCTTCAAAATAAAAGAAATCCATGTGGGCCAAACAGGGACAACCAAAGGACCAGATGTGACCTGGGGGTCAAAAAATGCCCAAAGGCAAACAAAAGGCTGAACTGAAATGGACCTTGGACTAACTCAGTAGAGCAATTTTTATAATTTAATGTAATTTGCAAACAACTGCAGTGCTATAAAATGTGCACATTTCTTGTTAGGTCAAACAATTCTCTGACCCCAGTTGTCCATAAATCATATCAAAATTAAATGGGAAAATTGTGAAAGCTCGACTACAGTTTTTATTTCTCTCCTGTATGCTCTAATATTCTCCTATCAGAGCCCTGGTATTTTTTTTCTATAAATTTTCAATGAATTGATTTGTTAACTATTTACTCTACCCACCAAGCCCAGGTACTCATCTCCCCCATCCAAACTGCATCTTCTCCATCTCCTTGATCATCACCTTTATCATTCATGAGTCCGTCATAGTAGAAGCCATTGTAGAAAGGGAGGCTGCCATGACCACTCCCTGTCTGTAGCAACATCACCACCAGGGGAAGGAGCATCACTTCTGGAAGATTCTGGAACTGGAAGGAAAACCTGACAAGTGAAGGAAGAAACCATCCAGATTAATAGTGTCTTACTACATTGCCTCACCTGCAGGCAGCATCAAATTGACTTTAGGTGATTCCCCCTCAAGCTAAGCAAGATAGACCCATAGCATAGGACAGGAAGAAACAAACACAGTTTATTAATTTTGACTTTATATGAGCCGCGGTGGTGCAGGCTACTTCTGCTGACTGCCAGCTGCCTGCAATTTGGCAGTTCGAATCTCACCAGGCTCAAGGTTGACTCAGCCTTCCATTCTTCTGAAGTGGGTAAAATGAGGACCCAGATTGTTGGGGGCAATACACTGACGCTGTAAACTGCTTAGAGAGGGCTGTAAAAGCACTATGAAGCACTATGAAGCTATTACTCTTTATCCCACTTTTATTGCTTTAGAAAAAACTCAAGGCAGCAATCACATAGAAACAACTCAAGGCAGCAAAACATATAGAATACTCCTTCCTCTTCCTATTTTCACCACAAGGACCACCTGTGGGGTGGCTGAGAGAATGTGTCTGGCCCCCCAGCAGTCTTCCATGCCAAAGACAGGACTAGAACTCAGTCTCCTGGTTTCTCAGCCAGTACTCTAACCACTACACCAAATTGACTTAGGTCAGTGCATTCTATCTCTTAGCAATCCTGGCTTCAGGAAAAGGAACTGGGCATTGGCAATCTAACTGAATTTGTACCATACTGAGGAAATATCCCAATACAAATAAGGTTTTTCAACTTCCTTCTTAAGGGCTTTGATTTATCCATGCTTTTTCTTTCCCACCTTTCTCCCTAACTTCCAAAGTTCAAATGATGCTTGGACTTTTTAAAATAGTATTTTAGAAATTTGTATCCTGTTTGGAAAGAGGGTTTTGTTTCATTTTGGGGTTTTGTCGCATTTAGGAACTGACATTTGTCTGCATGCTGAGAAAGATATGCATCCCCTGAATTTTTTTTTTCAAAGGCTGGAGTTTCACAGTAGTTTCAAAATGTCATGACTTCATGAAATCATCCTTTTATTTGTGAGATGGGTGGTCTCTACATATTTAATTTTATATATATAATAAATAATAATAAATAAATAAAAAATAAACATATTTATTTAATTTTAAGCAACCTTACTCCTCTTCCCCCAGAATTCACGGACTCCTCCATAAACCACTTTTCGTGGTTTTCCTCTGTTGTTTTTTATCCCTTTTTTTATTTACATGATGCAAGGGTCCTCGAGAACACAACTAAATAGAGGTCTACAGTTAAAGGATAAAGATTCCCTCAATTTGAGTTCAATTTCCAGTGACAACATAAAGATAGACAGTTCCTTGGCAGCAGTCCTGAAGTGGCTTGTAATTTCCTTCCTCAAGGAAGTTTTACTAACTTTTCCATCTAGCATATAATTCTGGAATTTCCTGGTGATATCTCCTCCAAGCAATCCTGCTTAGCCTTTTTATGATCAGCCAAGGTCAGCTAAGTAATGTTGCCTATCTGGGCAAAACTATTTTGGAATGCTTTTATGGCTTTCCAAGTGCCATAAAACATTTTTAATTCTGAAGTTTCCAAAATCTTTAAAAAAAAAAACACTGGGGAAACCACTTCTCAATACTTCTTTGTTCTTTTCTATTCTTTAAATCTAAAACATGTCATGATGAGTCCTTTTTTTGTACTCACAGTTTTCTGCCTGCCTTGGGCTCACTTAGCCTAGAAAAATATAAATACCGTGGCTTTTGGAGAATGGATTTATATAACTTGGGTGAAAGGCAACTTAAAGCTGCGAATTCTAAGTGGTTGGCAACCCATTTTTTCCAACTCTTAGCATTGGAAGAACAGATTCAGCAGATGTTCAAATGTCCATTCTTAAGGGGATTAAAGAAGAATAACAGAATAACAGAGTTGGAAGGGACCTTGGAGGTCTTCTAGTCCAACTCCCTGCTCAGGCAAGAAGCCATATACCCTTTCAGACAAATGGTTGTCCAATCCCTCCTTTAAAACGTTCAGTGTTGGAGCATTCACAACTTCTGGAGGCAACTGATTAATTGTTCTGTCAGGAAATTCCTCCTTAGTTCTAAGTTGCTTCTCTCCTTGATTGGTTTCCATCCATTGCTTCTTGTCCTGTCCTCGGGTGCTTTGGCTTGACCCCCTCTCCCTTGTGGAAACCCCTGAGACACTGGAACACTGCTATTATGTTATCCCTAGCCCTTCTTTTCATTAAAGTAGAATACTCAATTCCAGAAACCCTTCCTTATATGTTTTAGCCTCCAATACCCAGAAATTACTACATATATATTAAAAAGTAATTGCTTCCTTTAACTGAGTTCAAAATTTGGTGATTATGTAGACACCTCCATGGAAAAGGGGACAACAACATGGTGCTTTTTCAAAAGGCAACTGAAGTTTGTTTTTTCTCTCTTGAAGACGTTTCACTTCTTATCCAAGAGGCATATTCAGTTCAGATTTAAAATAAGTCTTGGTCAGGCAGAGATTCAGCATCGTGAGCCACAATGAAGCAGTGGTTAGAATGCAGTACTGCAGGCTACTTCTGCTGACTGCTGGCTTCCAGCAATTCGAGTCCCACCAGGCTCAAGGTTGACTCAGCCTTCCCTCCTTCCAAGGTTGGTAAAATGAGGACCCAGATTGTTGGGGAAAATAGGCTGACTCTGTAAACCATTTAGAGAGGGCTGTAAAGCATTGTGAAGCACTTTATAAGTCTAAATGCTATTGCTATTGTACATATGTGGTCTGGGCTGAGGTTAGTTCCATCACCTAACATGCTGTTTTATAACAGTTGCTTCTTCACTACCACAACAGCTTCACCTGCTGGAATGCAGATGAAGAGTGAAGACACATCGTAAGAAGCCATAGTCTCATCCAGATTCAGATTCAGTTTCCAAACCTTGCTGACAAAGCCTGAAGAACAAAGATGCATCTTGGATGAGAAGTGAAACATCTTCAAGAGAAATTAAAACAAACACAGAAAGTCCAGTTGCCTTTTGAAAAAAGTACCCTTGGAACTCTTCTGCTATTTTTTTTCTTCCCATGTAGCTAATAAGCCAAGATTTACTAAAGGAACTTGCATTCCATTGCTAGTTAGCCCTAATCCTGCTTTCTTCTGTGCCTTCTCCAGGTCAGAGAGCTGCTTCCACTTGCTGAGACATACATTAAATAACATAAAAGAAATCAAATCCAATATTAGCGACCACCCACTCTTTGGAGGGTGGTCCCTAGCATGCTACCTAAAGGCCAATTGTGTCTGCCAGCCTCAAAAATATTGCACACCCTTAGTATAACCCCTCGAATACAAATGAGCTCCAGTGAAGCACACACAAATCACATACTTTTGCAGCTAAGCATGCCTCCCCCACCCCCAAAATTAATTTGATGGAAAAGTGCTTCACCAGAACTTCATTGTATCTCATAGACAGTACATCTCATTAAGGTGACATGAATGCATCTTTAATTTCTCCTCCAAAGCAAGAATGGATCTCTTTCTCTCCTTCTCGCAGGGCAATACTATTGCAAGTTGCCTGGCTTGATAGATTGAATCTCAAAATGCTGTTCCTTTCTGCCCACAGAGGGCACTTTGCACCCATCACTAATTTTTCCCTGTAGCTCTGTTTGCTCAGAGTTTTGACTTGTTGGCCTCCAGGCTAGGCAAAGATTGAATCTCCTTTCAAAATTGCCACCTCCCTGTCTGCACCAAAGGAGCAGCTTTATCAAGAGGATTCCCCCACCCCACTTCTTATCAAAGGCCTTAAATGGCCTTTCTCATCACACCCACATATTGCAGAAATTCACATGCTTGGCTTCTTACTTACTGAGCCCAATAATGAGTGTCTTCTTAGCCCTGTGAACTCTGGAAAAAATGTCAAAGGTGGTCATCATAGTAACTGCAAACTGATGTGCTAAATTACAGCAGAACAGAGCCAAAATGTTGTTGGGTGTGGTGGCAGAATACTAAGAAGATGGAAAGGCAGGTATCATAAAACAGCATAACTGGCTGGCTGATGCCTTCAATAGGAGCATCCCAGGTGAAGTATTTTGTAGGCCTCATTTATCCATATTCAAGGGACAGAATAACCTGTGCTATCCTCTAATTTGCTTAAATTTCTTAAATAAAGCCATGTTTAAGCACCAGAGGGCAGGACAAGAAGTGATGGGTGGAAGCTTGTTAAAGAGAATTCCAGCCTAGAACTAGCTTTGGTCACCACACTATAAAACAGATGTTGAGACTCTAGAAAGAGTGCAGAGAAGAGCAACCAAGATGATTACGGGACCAGAGCAGTGATAGGATTCAAATTGTTCTTACTACCAGTTCTGTGGGCATGGTTTGGTGGGCATGGCAGGGGAAGGATACTGTAAAATCTCCAGTCAGAGGTGGGATTTGCCGGTATTCAAAATTTCTGCTACCAGTTCTCCAGAATTGGTCAGAACCTGCTGAATACCACCTCTGGGCCAGAGGCTAAAACATACGATGAAAGGTTGCAGGAACTGGGCATGGCTAGTTAGTGAAGAGAAGGACCAGGGGAGACATGATAACAGTCTTCCAATATTTGAGGGGCTGCCACAGGGAGGAAGGGGTCAAGCTATTTTCCAAAGCACCCGAAGGCCAGACAAGGATGGAAACTAATCAAGGAGAGATTCAAACTAGAAATAAGGAAAACTTTTCTGACAGTGAAAGCAATCAACCCATGGAACAGAAGTTGCCTTCAGAAGTTGTGGGAGCTTCATCACTGGAGGCTTTCAAGAAGAGACTGGACTGCCATTTGTCAGCAATGGTGTAGGACAAGGGTCTTCAAACTTGACAGCTTTGAGACTTGTGGACTTCAACTCCCTGAATTCCTTCTCCAGTCATGTTAGCTCAGGAATTCTGGGAGTTGAAGTCCACAAATCTTAAACTTGTCAAGCTTGAAGACCGTCAGTGTAGGGTCTCCTGTAAAAGGCAGTCATTATAGTAACTTGAAGCTGATATGCCAAATTACAGCAGAATATAATCAAAATGTCACAGAATG